ATAGGGGAATTAATGCGTATGTAAACCCCTAAACCTAGCATGTGACTATTGGAGTCTTTACAAATCAAAGGATAGTACCCATCAACACTGACATCTGAAGAAGGAATTGCAGAACTTAAATTTGTTTCACTGAGTGCAAGCAAGTCTGGTGAATTTTGAAGGAGGTAAGACTCAACTGATGGAAAGTTGCTTCGTAGACCGCGAATATTTGTAAAAGATATATTAAAATATTTAGGTGGTGGGGATGGTTTTTTAGGTTTTAAATTTTTGGTTACTTTGGTCATGATTTGGGTTTAATGAGAACTTGACTCATTCATAGATAGAGCACAGCCTCCTAATCAATGAGCTATGCAGTTGTCTCAGTCCTGTTAATTAACCCTAAGCCGTGACATAGGGCTCCTTATGTGGCCTTGACAATGCACACCAAAAGCATTAACAGGGACACCATCCATGCGCAACATGGCACTGTTAATACTCTGATATTTTGCAGCTGTTGATGGAATCAGCCTCTCTGAGAGCTACCACAGAGTTCGGGAAACCTTACTACCAGCCGGCCTCAGAACCATTAAACTGAGTTTTAGAGCTGTACCCTCATATGGAGATAACAGGAAGAGTTGCATAGCCATTATCAAGGAGGCATAAACAAAATTCTATGAGTAGAGTCAAGGAGATCCAGCATTCATCATCCTAAGCAGGAAACAATGTAACACAGGTTACATCTACGCCAGCCTAATAGATGAAGAAGGGGTTCGAGGCTGGTTAGCAGAATTTTTCTGCTTACCCCTAAAGTCTTTGCCTAGGAGGCCTTCTACAAGACAGTAGCAGGATGCAGTTAACATCTGCCCAAGATGAGTATTTTTATCGAGACACCATCTCTAGCCTTTACTCAACCAAGAGCCCCAAGGCAGGGGATGTTTAGCTGGATGCAGTTAACATCTGCCCAAGATGAGTATTTTTATCGAGAAACCATCTCTAGCCTTTACTCAACCAAGAGCCCCAAGGCAGGGGAATTTTTAGTCGGAGTTTATTTCTCCTAGCCTTTGCATAAGAAGAGCACACTCTGCAAGGCAGCAGGGCTTGTGGCAGGTGGTACTGGGTTACGTGATACCAGTAGCAAGATTGATCTCGATTATCCTGACCTGACCTGGAGTAGTTAAAAGGAGTTACTTCCCGCAACAGTACTTTGAGAAAACCAGGCATGACATTTCGGAAGTGCATTAGGAAAAACACTGCATCTAACAAAATACAGGAGTCTAAGGTGAGTGTACGTTTTGTAGTTGGAGTAAGTAGTTAGTTACTGAGCTCACGCTGCATTAGACTATAAACAGAACACAAACAAACATAGACATAAATCAACTTACGGGTGAGTCAACACCGCGCCAGAGGTTCAGACAGAACACAAACATACATAAAAAACATAAAGTAACTTACGGGTGAGCGAACACCGCGCCAGAGGTTCAGACAGAACACAAACATACATAAAAAAAACATAAAAAACATAAACATAAACATAAAGTAACTTACGGGTGAGCGAACACCGCGCCAGAGGTTCAGACAGAACACAGACATACATAAAGAACATAAAGTAACTTACGGGTGAGCGAACACCGCGCCAGAGGTTCAGACAGAACACAAACATACATATAACGTAGATTACAGGTGAGCTAATACAGTAACTAAGGCACCTCCAACTATATTTGGGGAGAAAAAAAAAAAAAAAAAAAAAAAAAAAAAATTACTATAGGCATGACTGATATAAGATAGTACTGATGACAGGAAGAACACTCCTTCCAGCCTTTGCTTAGATAGCAAATCCTGCAAGGCAGCAGAACATGGAACAGGTTGCACTGGGTTACATGTTACCAGTAGCAGGATGATCATGAAGACCATACTCCTGACCTGACACTAAATGAACAGGATTTTTCTGTTGGAGGTGGTTCAGAAAAGATTTTTCTGAAAAACAACTATTTTCAACACAGTTCTGTCGGTAGAAATCCGATTTAAAAATCTAGAATCTTATTGGCACTCATTTTTGAAACTGCAATTTTTTTTAGACACTTTTATATTAATTCAGTGTTTACTCTAAATAAGTTTTTTTAGTTAAATTTTATATACTTATACGCAACTTCTTTTAAATCATAAATTTAATATACTTATACGCAACTTCTTTTAAATCATAAAGGATTAAACTCATAATCACACAATAACCTTTACTTTTGCTATTAACTACTGACATTCACTTATTGCAACTGACATTTTTTTATTGGGGTTTTTCAATGTGTTTTAATTACAATTTATTTTACTTAATTCCAAACATTATTTCCAAAATAAGATTTTAAACACGGCTTTAGAGATAGCAGAAAGCATTTCTAACAAAACTGCAAAAAATAAAACAGAAATATCTTTATTGACAATTTTCCTGTAACCAGAGGTATTACAATGTAAAAATTACACATAGGTAGCCAAGTACATAGGTAGCCATACAAAAATAACACTTATTTAACATTAAATGGTGTATGCTCTATATGTAAATAGCTGTATCTCAAGGATTAAGCCTGTAGCCTTGTCAATATGTTTTAGATCGCATGTTGCACGCCAACATATTTTTTCATAATAGTTTTTAAATTAAATTTAAAAATATTAATAAAATTATAAATGTATTTGTCAATAATCAAGAATATACTTAACCTTATTTTGAAATGAACTTGTCGTCAATAAAGAGATCCTTAAGTCCTGTGACAACAATCAATATAAAATACTTTATTTAAAGAAACAAAAATCAAATGCCTACCATGCAGCTAATCTCTTTTGGAGATCAGGGATGAGTATTCTTAATGTGATTTAGAAAGATTACAATCCAAAATTTATGAGCTCCTCCTATCCTTGCCAAAGCTAAATTAGGGGATTTATATCATGTTTTTCTTTTCCTAGGTACGTTGTTTTTACTGTGGCTCAAGAGTCCTTACAATAAAGCTATACTATAAGTTGATTCTATGAAACAGGTTGTACTGGATTACATGTTACCAGAGCAGGGTGACCTAACCTTACTATAATTGATTGACTGATACAAACTCAAAAAAAAATTTTAATGTATTCTAATTATTTATTAAACTAATATCTTATTTTAATAAATACTAAAATTTAAACTATCTTCTGAAAAAAGTGATGTGACCTGACTGATTGCAATAAAATGATAATCAATTACTTATACTGCAAAAAAAAAATTTCAAAAAAGACTTAGATCAGACATACTAGTACTTATAAGTGGAAAAAAATAAAGATCATTTTGAAAAGATCCATATATTCTCCACTGCTTTCAATAAAAACTAAGGAATTCAATGACTTTTTCCATGACCAAATAAAATTCCATGACATTTTCATGATTTCCATGACCAGTAAACACCCTGTAAAGGCTCCATTTCTATCTGAATACAGGAGGTTAAATGTAGGAATCAGATTTTTCAGCTGAGAGAGAAAAGACATCAGCCCAAGGGCTGCCACGAAAAAAATTATGAAAATAATTCTAGTCAGCTTTAGGGTAGTAGTAAGTATCGCAATAATAGGGTCCAAAAAAATAGTATGAGATTTATAGATTTAAAATTATATTTATAAAGATCATTGCATGGTCAGAACCAACTAAGGGAGAAAAAGGAGAAATGAAAACAAGCTAGGGTCAGAGAAAAGACATAAATCAAGGAGTGAAGGTAAATGATTGGGGTTGTCAGTAAAACAAGTCACAAAGTTGACTATCTGAGTAAGAGATAGAGAAATGCAGAAATTATATACTTTAATACCAGCAGAGCTAGTGGCGTTAGAGCCAAGCCATTCAGGGTGATGAGCGTTAAAGTCACTAATAACAACATAACTTTCAGAAGGCTAAAAAGAGAGGGCATGGTCAATTTGATCAGAAATTACATTTAAAAGAGTGCAGCATTGGTAAGAAGGGGAACAATAAAGAACAAAGAGGAAAAAAATAAAGTGATAGAGTGAAAAGTTGCAAAGCGGAAGCACATAAAAGAATGGTCATAGGATTTAAAACTGATTTCACAACAAATAGGTAAATTAAGTGTGTGTATACCCTTTGCAAATCAAAGGATAGTACCCATCAATACTGAGATCTGAAGAAGGAATAGCAGAATTTAAATTGATCTCACTAAGACCAAGTAACTCTGGTGAATGTTGCAAGAGGTAATACTCTACTGATGGAACAGTTAGGTGGTGGGGATGGTTTTTTATGTTTAATATTTTGCGTTACTTTCGTCATGGTTGAGGTTTAAAGAAAACTTGACACATTCATTTATACAGCACAGCCTATTGAATGAGCTGAGCAGTTGCCTCAGTCTTGTTAAACAACCCAACCCAACAACCCAACCCAAACAGTCCGAACATAGGGCTCATTATGTGACCTTGATAATCGCATCAAAAGCAATAACAAGGACACCACACATGTAAAACATGGCACTGTTATTACTCTGATATTTTGCAGCTGTTGATGGAATCAGCCTCTCTGAGAGCTACCATAGAGTTTGGGAAACCTTACTACCAGCCGGCTTCAGAACCATTAAGCTTAGTTTTGGTGTTGTACCCTCATTAGGAGATAACAGGATAAGTTGCATAGCCACTATCATGTTTATGAATAACTTTAAAATGCAACCATGATATAAAAATCAAAAAGTATCAAGAAGCCTAAAAATTTTTAAGAAGAATTTTTTTAAATAAAATAAAACAATTATCCAACCAAAGAGCTAAGCTATCCATACATACAAGCCTCTGAATCTGTCGGGTAATAATAAACTATAGAAATAAATAACTAAAAAAACAAAAAGTTTTTTCTTCAAATTTTTAATCTATTAATTAATTTTTATATAGTTTAAGATAAAGGGACCATAATTTGGGGTTTAATATTGTTCCCAGAATCTTATTCCCACAACTTTTCTCAACCATTCTCGTTTAAAACAAATGTATATATAAATATTAGACAAAACAAACTAAACTCAAACCTTTCCTTACGGCTTTCTTCAATCTTTTTTAAAATTCCTCTTTCCTCTTCAGGTTTTTCGTTGACTAAAAATAACTTTTATAAGAGAAATCTTGTAAATAACAAACTTTTTGTTAACTATTTAATTATTAATAACGGTGTTCAAGGGTATTATTTAATTATTAGTAACTATTTAATTATTAGTAACGGTGTACAAATCTTGCTTTGTTAGAATTTAACATAAAATAACTTATTAGGTAAAAATATTTTTAGCGAATCAGTATACATTTAGTATGTTTTAAAAAAGAAAATGTTCATAAAAAAAAAAAGTTTTATTGAAACACTTAACTTTGTGATAAGCACTTCCCAATTGAAATATGTTAAAGATAAAGTGGGTTTAGTTAAGAAAGAGGAGAATCAAGAGATTAGAAAGTTTTTAACTGTGATATACCTGAACTACATAACCTTAGGTTCCAATATTTAAAGAAAATGAAAATGAAATATGGAGAGGAAAGTTTGATTATACAGTACAATCATCTCAATATCTTTTTAAAATTTTCTATGATGGTTGAAATAAAAATGGATCTAGGCTGTCAAACATCTACTATATTACCAAAAACGAAAAAAAAAATCTTTAAAAAAAAACTAAATATTAGCATATTTTATTATATGCTAATATTTTAACTTCAGTTCATTCCTCAGAATGAACCCGAAAATATTTGCAAATAAGAGTTCCAATAAAAAGATGGATTCTTGCAAATGTATTTAATCATCATATTTTAGTGTCATATTTATAAAACTTGTTTATGTGCAAAACAACAGTTACAATATTTGAGTTTTTAGAACCTCAACATGAGTGTCAGAGTTCATCATGCCAGCAACTGGGTAATGTGATCTTGGTCCAACAGCAGAAAAACAACCTCAAAGCATCTAGTTTTTGTGATGGTTGATGTGTTGTCTGAGTCATATAGGCTTATCAGAAGAACAATTAACAAAATGTGAACATTGACCTTTTAATTTAAAATGTGACTCATCAAAAAATAAAACATGCAATTAATCACAAATAAACAAGTTAACGATAATTAAGTTTTTTCAATTCAATAGCTTCAGTTTTCAAGTATAGTAGGGCTATACAAATATAATTAACTGTATAATTAACAATTGTACATTTTTCCTTAATTTTTCATGTGTTTCACATGACATGGAACTCCACCAACTCAATTAGAGAAGAAAAAAGACTCCATACAGTTTAGTTATCTTTATCTTGGGAAAATTATTGAAGAATGTGCTTGTAAATTATCAAATGATTTATGCTTGCATAAAGAAATTCGAATTCAATTTTCAAGGCAGAATTTTTCTTATAGTTCTGAAAGTTCAATTGCTCTTTTCGAAAAATTTCAATGTTTTATTTTGAAATACAATAGTGATGCAGAAAAATTTTTTTCTCAATTTTATGCACTTCTTTATAAAAATTTATTGCCATCAAAGTTTGACAATATCTTACTGACCAATACTTTGCTTACTGAAGTTGGAAATCACATACTTCGAGATCTTTCAGAAAGTAAACAATAATTCATCTAATAGAGAAGTTTTGTCATCTTATGTTTTTTCTGATAAAGATTTAAGTATAATTCAATATTTGTCTGGCTATTTTGTTCAAAAACTTTACTCAAAGTTCAAATTTTTATAAATTTGATGAGCAGTATAAATAAAAATGCATAGAAATATTATCAGCATGATTCAGATGATACCCAAAAATATGTTAATACTAAGAACAGAGGTGGTTTATTTAAAACTAACATCTATACTCAAATTATCTCTATCCAATGTGAAATAATTTTTCGTAAACAAAGCAAAGCTTTTGTAACATCTATTAACAGCAAAGCTGGTTAATGAAATGCTTAAGGACTCAGTGATTATAAGTAACTTGAACAATATATGTTACAGTACTGAAGTGCAAATTGATAAAGAAATATCTTTCTCTTTTCTTGAAAGTATGGTTGTTTTGTTTACAAGGGTAAGAAGCTTTTCCTATGCTAGAGATGTTTGTGAGAAACATCAAACCAACATGCGACAAGCACGCAAATTTTCTATAAAAACAGAGATTAAAAAAGCAACGTGCAGCAATATAGTTGATCCATATATTTGGTCTTGGGTTCATCCCCAATCTGCTTTAGAAGATACAAAACAATTATTTTTATAGCCACAAATTTAATTAAAATGTTATGGCTAAAACAACTTAGTTACTTTTAAATAAAAATATTTATATTTATATATTGTTGAATAAAAAAAGAGTATTAGTTTTTAACAATTCTGATTTCTTTATTGCCCTTTTTAAATACTTCTTACTGATAACATTTATTAATTAATTTTTTTATCCTCTAATTATGCCCCATAAACGCGTTGCCTGTCAAAAATAGACCTAGATCCTCCACCCTTTGTGCGCCCTTGTATACACAGAAACAATGTGTAAAAAAAGTCACACCTTAATAATTTTTTATAAAAAAGGAATTTTTGTATGGTTTAATTTAAATTATTTACCTTACCCAAATTTAAATTCTTAATATATCATAATTATGATATATTAACAATATTCTTAATATATTATTGGGATCATCCCCTAATCCTTTTTGTAACTTTTCTGCAGTATAGGTTAGTATAATTGCTGAATGAAAAACATAAACAAACAAATTTGATTGTTATTAAAACAGTTTTTTTGGCAAAAAAAGTTTTTTTTATAAGTTCTTGATAATACAATCATGGTTAAAAGATTATATTTAGTAAATGTTACACTTTTAGGCTTTTTTACATTTAGTAAATGTTAAGCCTAATAGTGCAGGAAACTTCAGAAAATATATAAAAAGTCCTATATACTTTCGAAAAAATAAAAACAAACAAGACATCTTTTTTATTTATTTTTGTTAATGCAACTTTTTTTTATTATATTTATTAATGCAACTTTTTTTTGTACTAAATTAAAAAATAGGCTGTTCAATGCTGCCAATACTAAATGACCCAGAAAAAAAAAAGCATTGACTTTGGATAAAAAAAAGAGATGTCATGCTTGTACTGTTGAGGGGAGTAGTTGTCAGTTGCAATCGACCCCTTTTTTAAAAAAAAATTTGTCGCACAAATTTAAACATATTTTCATTATCAATATAAACATATTTGCCTTAGCATTAAAAGTATAATTCTGGTAATTTTAATTGTCAATAGACTCTTTCCATTTCTCAAAGTATAAAAGAAAACTGTCAAGCCATTCAAAACATACATCATTAACAAATTCATATGGTTTTAAATTTTCTTTTAAATTTTTAATAGCTTTATTTTTACTTGAAACATTTAAGCAGTCAAAATATTTATCCATCATGAGACAAAATTGAGAAGTTCCTGCGCATTCTGGTGGACCAAATTCTTTTAATATATTGCCAACTGTTTCACTTAACACTTGAGCAGCCAAGTAAACATGCATTACTGAATATGGTGTTAAATTAATGTGATCACTTGTAAGTTTATTTACTAATCTTAAGCCACATTTCTCATCAGTCCTCATAATAGAGTTGAGAAATATGACTACAGAATATGTGTAAACCATTATTCCACATATAACGAGTACCTCGTCCAGAACCAGAATTTGCAAGGCAGTTGTAAGTGGTTTTAATTATGTGTAGCATCTGAAAAGAAATATATGTAACATTTTTTGTTAGAGTAAATATTGTGAGCTCTGTAAACTAAATCATTACACACATTTATATTTAATTTCTCATGCATTCTAAAAAATTTTCTGTTAGGAGAGGCGCCATCATCTGTTACAGAAATTACTTTTAAATTTATACTTTCAAGGAAACAAACAGCTTTCCAAAAAATAGACATCAGCTGAAATGACGTAGTTTCAGTAGTTGAAAAAGGAGCTAAACTGAACAATAAAGGATCAACAATGCTCTTTACGAAACACAAGTATATGAGTAACTAATTCTCTAACATTTTTTAAAGTAGAAAAATTGATTTCTTTATCACCTAAATCAACAAAACCAATAAGCTTTTCAGTATATTTGTCCCAAACTAAATTTTCTTGGATTTTCATTTCATCAAAAATAATTGAAACAAATTTTTCATGAGGAAGAAAATTTTGTGTTTTTTTTGCAAGTTCACTTAAGACAGCTGGATTAAATCCCCTAGTAGGTCGGATGTAATTTTTGTAATCTCTTAAAGTTCTTAAGCTTGGAAGAGTTAAAATGCTTACACCTATCTGTGGATCATATCCAAAATCGCTATAAGCAGATGGTGATTTAGCAGCTAGGTTTAGACAATATTTTATTCTTGCATAGTTATTTTTGATAGATGAAAGATTGGAACAACTCAAATACTTCTGCTGCTCCTCCCACAACAACTTCATAAACGGTGGAATGTTTTTTTATCACTAGCTGAATAAATCGAGATTAAGTCTTTATTAAGTTTTGAACAAATCTTCTTACTACATATATTTAAAGCAGGTTTCATTAGTTCAATTACCTCTTTGTATTGATTGCATTGAAGTCTGTATTGCTGCAAAGTCAGTTTAAGTCTACTAGGAGGAGTTACAGAGAATGGCACATTTAATTTAGCAGGAGTCTTAAGAGTAGATCTTGTACAGTGTATACTAAAATTTACTTTAACATTAAGTTCATGACAAAATCTGCAAGGCTGATTCTTTCCAAAGGCTAATAATTCACAAGAGTTGCTGCAATAAAATTTAATTTGATGCATTTTAGACTTTGATAAAAAACTTTTATAAATAAAATAATGAAAAGTTTTAGAAACAACATGCTTCTGAAAATGTAACACTTCAATAGGATCAGGAACTTTTGTTCCATTGCAAACTTCTAAAGATTTTATTTAAAAAATAAACTGTGAAGAAATCACACTTAAAAATGACCTTTTATATTTCAAATATAAATTATGTGTTTCAGGTAACATCCATCCGTACACACGAATAATAAAATGTAAGGAAACTTCTACAAAAATTTCAAATTTTGGAATCACTTCTTTTAATAACTTAAATGAAGTATAACAAAAATTAAAAATTATAAAGAAGAACTTTTAAGAA